TTTGATCTAGAGTTTGGAACTTAAGATTAGGTTAGTCCAAAAATTGTGGGCGCAGTGGTTAATCTAGAGTCGCAGACTAGAACCTACCAAGCATTACCAAGGATTTAGGAACTTAATTCTAGGTTAGCCAATGTTTTTTATGCACTTGGAAGAGGGTAAAATTTAGGTTTGTTCCTATTAGTCACAAAACTACATTTAAACATTTAAACATTTGATTCATACATTGATTATGATCTCATTGCAAGGGGAAAGACGCACATAATTTGAACACTTCTACGTACATTTTTTTTAGAAACACTTAGCATATTCTTTAAGTTTCGAAACTGAATTACTCGAAATTAGTTACTTCTTTTTACACATAAACTTGCGACCTTATTTCCTAGATAATTGTCTGGAGTTTAAGTAAAGTTTTACTAAGTCATAAAAAGAGTTTTCACCTTCCTTGTGCGATTGATATTGGGGTTTTAAAAGAAAATCCTATATTACTTGAACGATACGTGCACTTGCGTTTCAATCCTAATGAAACTTTGGAATCAATAATTAGAAAATTTAATACCTACGTCACTAAGAGTGGCCATTGTAAAATCATAAAATTATTTTATCAACATGGAAAGGGAGTCAAGTTTTTGGTTCCTTTGTCAAGGATTGAAATTGAAGAAGATATACAAAAATTAAGTACATCAAATTGTGGTATCAAGTTTTTGGTTCCGTTTGTCGGAGAATGAAATTAAATAAGATATACACAATGTAAGTATAACAAATTGCAGGATCATAATCTCATACAAGTTGAGTTAGACATGTCCACTTCATCACCTAAATTCCATCAATTTTAATATTAATAGAATACATTGTTGATCACCACCTCAATATAAGAATTTTATCCTTTGACCATCATTTAATTACATGCATTCCACTTCAAAACCTCCACCATGATAAAGTTGCCCTCCTTTTCACTATATTAAAAGACAATATGACCTATTAATATACATTAAAATGTCTCAAATTAAATTTGTTCTCATGAATATTACCTCCATGCTTTGAAAAATTGCTTAAAATTTTCAAACCCTAATCTAGCACCCTTCTTGATGACATGGGCATCCTCTCTACTCCCTCTTCATCTATCATGGTGTTATGAAACAATATGTTAAGCGAAATATATTATATATTGAATATTATACCACCTCACCTTATATTCACCCTTATTGAACTGAAAGATTGCTCAAGAGTGTAATTATGAAGTTTGTCTAGATAAACATTATAACTATAATGAATGGTTGTTTATGAAAGTAATTTTTATTACTATTCATTACATTAAAGAATATTCTAATTTAAATGATAAGAATATCATTTTCATTTAACCATTGTCATTCTTATTTCTTCTTATGATCTAATTTTATCTAGTATGTCACTCTTATTCTTTTAAATAAACAACCAAAAAATATTATTATTTTTAAATTTGTAATCTACTAGTTAATCAAAATGTTATAAGTTTTGATATAAGGAAAATATTATGATAACTTTAAAACTCATAGAAATATTTCCAACTTGTCTTATATCAAAGTCTTTCTTATAGTTGGCTTAAAAATTTGAGATCTATTTATGCCAAAAAAAAAAATGGGGCAAAAAATGCTACAAGAAAGGTTTCACATTTATGATGACATTTGATGCATGTAATGTTGCTCGTGATACTATGTTAAACATTATGGTAGGGTTGCTTGGAGGAGATTCACAGAAAGTATGGCCTAAAATTGGAGATCTTAAATTTTAAATCATAACAATAACTAGTAAGAGGTAATAACAAACGGATAAGAGGATCTCGATATTATAAATATACTCTAAAGAGTGTCGAGTATATTGACTAGTATTTTTAGTAATTGAACTAAAGAGCAGTGCTTCAAGTATCATGATAAGCCAAACCTAAAGAATATGATTCTATAAAGAGGAAGACAAATGAAAATTTTCATTAAGATGCATGGCTCATGAAGTCCTTTGATTTGAATTATCTTATACTAGAGGTTTCTTGGGTAAAAGTGTTAAGAAATTAATGTTGGTGGCTTGAATATTGATGTATAACTTTTGCACTTTAATGGGTGCCACATAGAAGGATATGATTGCATCATGAACTTAAATTTAAATTAGTTGCAATATCTATCTTAATGGGTGGAGTGAAAATTTTACCACTCATTTAACTAGAGTAAGAAATAAAAGGAGCTATAATGGTTTTGAAATATGTTTATTCTGCAACATAATTTTTCTTTATGCATGATCATCTTATTGAGATCACTAAAATGCAAACGATAAGCTATTAATTTTTTAGTGGAGAACACATGTACAAGGAATGAATCACCGAGAGAGTTAACTCCACGGACAAAGGATTGGGAATGAAAAGTGTAATGAAAAAGTAGACAATAAAGATATACACACAAGTTAAGAAATATGAAAGATTAATAATGGGTCGAATGATGTAATATAATGTTTATTATAAGGTTGGAGGGAGTAGAGGGATTGGCTTTCAAGTATAAAGATAAGTTTAATAAAGCACTCTCTTCATGCTCTCGCGATTTAAAAGAACTACAATTACTAAAGTTAAAATATAAAAAAAATATAAAACTTTAGCTCTTCTCAGCACTGTAGATCAATAGCCTTACATAATCTTAATTGGGGTTATTTATATGTTAAGGGATTGATTAAGGAAGCTTCAAGATGATGGTGATTGGCATGCACATTTCAATCTGATTTGGTTGCTCAAGTGAAAATAGGAAATGGATTAATTAAACAAAGTCTGGCCATTCAGTGCAGGTAGAAAGTGTTGAAATATACCATAAGATGAATACTTCGCAGGATGTGGTTGTTAAATCTTATGTAAGATCATTTTGTAGGCTAAAGGAATTCTAAAGAGTGGAATCATACTTATACTATGAATTTTCATGCATTAAATCCACATTGGTACATACAAAAAACATCAGTTGCTATGATAATAGATCATGGATTAGGAAATGTATAAAATACTAATATAAAGGCTCATAAGTGTTAGATACTCATATGCTTCAAAGCGAGCAAAATAAAGGCAAGCACACAAAATGTAAGGAGGCATTTTAGACTTAGTTAAAGGAATATAGGATGGCTAAAAAAAGTTGAATTAATGGTCTGCATACGCCAAGCCTAAATTATTTCACTAGTTCAATTATATAGACCCACTAATGCCGAGGCAATATTTCCTTTGCTAAGTCAATAGTTATTTTGTTGATTGATGTTAAAATTAGTCAGTTTAAGATATTTCAGATGTGAAATGCTTATCCTAATTATTATTCCAAAATAAAGCCTTGATTAGTTATGAAAAATGAGGAAATACAGCTTGTATAAACTATAAGTGGTGGTTTAATGGCTACCATTGCCATTGATGATGTCTCAAATGCAGATTTTAACATACAACATCATAAAAAATGATGTCATTAGCATATTGGTGATGATAAATCAAAATTATGTGGGGCCAACTGGTAAGAATACTATTTATAAAAATTATCTTTTAAGAGAATTTGAAAGAATTAGACCATAAAAATTCACTATTTTTTTCTGGTTCAACTCCTCTCATCGAGGATAATATTTGAAAATAATGACTCACAATTAAGAAGGTGAAGCAAGCACATTATCTTTAAAAGGTTTGAACTTTCCAAAATAGATTGCATAAGTGCACATTGATCCGATCAAAGTATACTACAATGCTCCTATTTCATTAGGAAACAAAATAGGTCAATTTGGTTGTTTTCTAATTCTGATAACTGTCCATGCCTTTATGTGCGACCACTACCCATCCCTTCATGTGCAGGCATTGCAGAAAAAAAAAATTCTGATAAGCTTAGCAATTTCTACATATATTGGGCCACTTGGGCTCCAATTTGAATAATTTGGGCGTTCATGATTCAATACGTTGCTCCATATTGTATTAGGGTATTCATACCATTCTAAGTATTGTTATGTGTTTATTTAGTCAATTTAAGTGAAATTGGAACCAATTTAACATTTTTAGTTTTTATGAGATTCATGTTTTATGCTAAAAATTATATTTCATCGAATAAAGATTTTCTAGATCCTAATAAATGTTGTACTAAAAAAGTTTACACAATTTTTTTAATAAATTGTTCGCAATGCCCTGCACAAAATTAAATATAATCTCGCACAAAAAAATTCGTTTCTCTACAAGTCAATCTATATGCTAAAAAATTTAAAAATGTGCACAAACTTATAATTATCTGAATATATTTTTATTTAGAAAAATCTTAAAATAAAAAGACATTGAAAGCAAAACCAACAAATTGTTGTTAATCTTTTATTCTCTAAATTGTTACAGAGGATTTATATATTTGTCTTAGAATACTTGTACATTTAAATACTACTACTTTAATCTTTTTATTTATTTATAAACATTTTAATTTTTGAATTATATATATATATATATATATATATATAAAGAAAGAAAATGAGCTATATATTACTACTAGTACCCTCAAAATGAGCTAAATATTACGTCATGACTCCTAACGTAGAGCTACGTTCAGATTGGAATATCCGGCTGTGTTACAGGAGTATTCCATCAGCGTTATTTGTAAAAATGATGTGTTATTCGAGTATTATATGGTGTTATTTGATTATTTTACGGTGTTATTGGAATATTTCATCGCGTTAATAGAAATGGCGCTAAATTGTTATTGAAATATTCCCCTGTATTGCTTGATTTAGGGCTTTGTTATTCTAATAACATAGTGAAAATTGAAATATCACGAGAAATATGTTGAATAACACAGTTCCAAATGAAATAACACGATGAAATAATTAAATAACACGGTAAAATAATCGAATAACATCATATAATACTTAAATAATATATCATATTTACAAACAATACGGATGAAATATTTTCATAAAATAGTTGAATATTTTAATCCAAACTTAATATTTTTCCTTGTGAGAGGATGTGACAGAGGGGATGGGTCTTATACAACCAAGAGGCCGGGGTGTGACGGGTCCTGAGAGGCCTTGGCGACTTTTAGTAGCAATTACTCTTGTGGTGGAGAACCAATGGCGCGACGCGCCACAAAATCCATCGCTGACCAGAATCGTCACACTCAACTGGCTCCGGGGTTCCCTTTCATCGATATTATATCGGATAAGAATCTTCGGGAGTAGCGAGAACCACAATACCTTGCAGAAAATCCTTGCAAACGAATTTTTTTTGTCGATGCAGCTGCGTGATTGAGTTATCTTGGTTCGCGCGGAGTTTATAGAGGCATATCTTTCTTGCATCTGGGTTGTTGTTAGTAGTTTGATTTCCAAGTTCAGACAAGATGCTGCCCGTCTGCTCCGCCGCGCCTTGCTGTTCGTCGTCTCATCATGTGAGTTCTGCATTCTGTGTTTTGATCGATTGCCGAGCTTCAGTCATCCCCATGTTTACTTGGTTTCTTTCCGAATTTTGTTGATCTATTTGTTTACTTTGCTTTAAATTTGTCTATGGAGCATTTTGGTTTAATTTAGCTGAGCGTGAGTAATGTTGTTGTTCTTGACCTTTGATTTTTTAACTTTTTTATGAAAAGTGGTAAAACTGAGAAGGAAATTCTAAATTCACTTGGATATAATTATCTTTGGAATTCAAGAAAGGCTGTTCAGTAGCCTATGCAATAGTAGAAAATTCTGGTGGCGCATTGTGTGTTAGCCGCGCTTAGTTTGCAAGGAATTTTAGAAAAAATTGAAATTCATGCAATTTGTACTTGAAAAGAATTATTTCGTGAAAAACATACTAATTTCATTAGTGCATTGAGTTTATAGCATTTACAAATAAATCCCTAAACCTAAACTTCTCCTATTTACAAATAAGACCTTATATTAGATATAAATTCCAACACTTTCCCTCAAGATGGGCAAAAAGATATCCACTAAGCCCATCTTGCCACATAACCTAGACAAATCTAATGAGCTAAGTCTTTTGGTGAGGCAATCAACCACTTTCTCTCCAGTGACTATGTGACTTAGCTCTAGTAGTTTGTCATTTAGCTTTTCCTTGATGAAGAACCACATTTTTTATTCTATCATGTTCCATTGGGTTGTCAGCAATGCAGATCTCTGACTTGTTGTCGCAACCACAACTTCATTTGAGCTGCCCACCTTGAGCTTTACAAACAAGGCTCTCAACCACATCATCTCAGCAACTCCTAAGGCAATAACCCTATACTCTGCCTCTGTTGTTGACCTCGCCACTACAGACTATTTCTTGCTCTTTCAAGAGACCAAATTGCCCCCTACAAATATGCATTATGTAGATGTGGATCTCCTGTCATCCATACAACTTGCCCAATTAGAGTCTCAAAAGACTTTAATGCTTACATGTTCATTCTTCCTAAAAATCAACCCCTTCGCTGGTGCACTTTTTAGGTACCTTAGAATCTGATATACTCTATCCATGTGACTCTTCTTCAGATCATGCATGTAGCGACTCATCATACTGTAAATGATATGTCGGGATGAGTGTGACTCGCATTGATGAAATGCCTTACCAATCTCTGTTATCTCTCCCGATTAAATGACTCTTCTATCTCTAAACTCAACTTTTTCTTCTGATCAATTGATGAAACTGCCGGCTTGCATCCCAACATGTCTGTCTCAATGAACAAGTCTAGCATATCATCTAAGGTAGAACAATTCCCGCAGCTCCACGAGCCACTTAAATTTCGATAAAGTATCTAAGTTGTCTCATATTCTTCAACTTAAACTTTTTGCCCAAACTTGACTTCAACTGAGCAATCACTCCCACATTATCCCCAGTGACAATCATATCATCCACAGACACAAAAAGAATAGTAATGTGACCACTCTGTCTTCGAAAGAATACTGTGATTTGTTGATAGCCTATGTCTACCATTGCTTTCCTGAAACTGTCAAACCAAGCCTGAGAAGACTATTTCAAACAATACATTAATTTTTTCAATCTACATACATTGTCCATTGGTTGGTTTGTGTCAAAGCATAGATGTATCTCCATGTACACCTCCTCTAATAGATCGCTATGAAGAAACACACTCTTCACATTCAATTAATGTGACCTTCATGCACCATTCACAGATGAGACTCCTGATTGTGCTTATCTTTGCCATTGGTGCAAATTACTCATCACAATCGATGTCATACATCTGACATTACCCTTTCGCCACCAACCATACTTTGTAGCGATCAATCTTTTCTTCCGAGGTCTGTTTCACTGTGAAGATCCATTTGCACTTGACTATCTTTTTCCCTACTGGTAGCAATTCGAGTTCCCAAGTCCTGTTCTTATTGAGTGCACCAAGTTCCTCTAGCATTGCAACCTTCTGTTTTGGATCCTCCTTAACTGCCTGCCAACACTTGGGAATAAAGAAAGTATCCAAAGATGCAATTAATGCTCTATATAAAAGTGTTATGTTAGAGAGACAAAATGGGTAATGTCAGCTGAGGAACCGAAACGATCAGGTGTTTAACCCACATTATTGTGAGAGGTTCTCTTTAAAGTCATGGGAGTGGGAGGAGAAGAGAGAGAAATCATATCAACTGTGTAATCAAATTCAAAGATGGATGGTGTAGGTGTCTCAAGAGTTGGGGTAGACTAGAATAAGGGACTTTTTACAAGAGTGGCATGGTAGGTGTTGTTCCCTCATTCTGCCTTTTTCTCCTTGTATACACCCTCAGCTTCCCTTGCACTTGAGTCCCACCACCTTCGGACTATATTTCCTCATTTTCCGGCTCTTTCTCAGTCGATCATTCCCACACAAAAGGACAAGACATCATGTATCAATCTCTCACCATCACTACTCTCTCCCTCTTGCCTCATACCTCCAGTATCTGATGAGTCAACAAAGGGTGAGGCTACCTCCAAGGTGTAGTATGGTTCAAATTTTCTAAAGGTCACATCTATACGCACAAATAGTTTCTTCTCTATCGGGCTCAAACAAACACACTACTTCTAAGTGGCAGAATAACCCATGAAAATACGCTTCACAACTTTGGGATCTAGCTTTCATATTGATGGACTATTATCCTTCACAAAACATACATAACCAAATATCTTCAATGGAAGGATCCCACTATTATCTCCTTTCAATAATTCACAAAGAGATTCACTCCAATATTCTTGAGTGCATGCTGTTGATCATTTGAGAAGTTGCAAAAACAGTTTGCCGCCACAAGTGCTTTAGGCTAATTTATCGAGACCATCTTGCTTTTGGATACCTCTTGAAGGTGTCTATTCTTTAGCTCTGCTACGTCTTGTGTTAATGTTTTATAAATAAGTGGTTTGATGTTGTATCTCTTAAGCCGACAGATACTCCCCAAACTTTTTGTTGGTTTACTCTGTCTGGTTATTAAACCTCAATACATTCACTACTGTACTATATTGAATCTGAATCCCTGTGAAAGTCTTTAATGCAGGCAAGCATATCATTTTTATTTTTCATCAGATATAATCAAATAAACACAAGAAAAATAATTAATGCAAGTCACAAATATCAGTAGTCATTCAACTAAGTTGTAGAATAAGTCTCCATGCATTTGAGTGTATCAAATCAAAATACAAGAACTCTTATTACCAGATCCAAAATAAGAGCTCTTAGTGTGCTTACCCAACTCAGAGGCGTCACATACAAGTTTTTATTTATTTGTCTTTTCATGCAAAGAAAGATACAAACGACTCAATAGACTAAATGATGAGTGTCTCATGCACTTGTGATGTTCCTAGAGCCTCCTTCTTCAACACTCTCTACAATAAATGTCAAGGCTGAGTCCATCCCCTCTTTATCCAAGTATCAGAAACTATTATGTCATGTGCCAGCCCAAGTCTCCTATCAGTTCTCTTCTCCTGAAAGATCACCATAGGAATATCAAATAAAACAATACATTTTAGTTGAAGTATCATGACACTAATGGATAAAAGTTTCACTGGAAAGGAAAGAGCATACAAAACATTTAACATAGTCATAAAATTGATATGTCTCACTGTACTCTTACCAACCACAGGCTGTGTATCATCAACGGTCTGAATGCTCTCTGGAACTGCTATGTGAGAATATGATAAGAACTCACTAGCAAAACCTGTCACATTTTTAGATATACTAGAATTTAGTATTCATTGATTTTGTGATGGATATAGAGGCAATAGCATTTGTAAGTGCTTGTGATCCTTATCAGTAAAGATCACCTTTGTGTCTTCTTGATTCTCCGCTACCATTGGATTCGCTCGGAGGCCCACTTTTCCACCTCTTTGGACCTCACGATTACGAGGACGGCCTCTAGACTATCGACGTTCACTCGTCTCTCTTTTCTTAGGTGGTTTTGGACAAGCCTTGCCGAGATGTCCCACTTCTCCACAGTTGTAGCACCTGCGACAACTAAAGCAGATGATGTACCTAGAAGTCCACTCGGCTTAGAGCGTAGCCCCATGTGACTCTACTCCTATAACATTACGACAGTAGCCTCATCCAGTGAAGGCATCGTTGCCTGAGCTAGGAGAAACGTTCTCTTCTGATCAAAGATCAGGTTCAGATGAGCCAGAAACTACATAGTTCTCATTTGTCCAAAGATCTCTTCTTTCTTGCACCCCGGATCATCACAGCTTGAGATAGGTGAGAAGTGATCAAGATCTTGCCACAAACGCATCAGCTCTATGGAGTACTCTTGAATTGATCTACCACCTTATACCACTGTCTTTATATCACTCTTTATCTGGAACACACTCATGTATTTCTTAGTCCCAGCATAGGTTCTCTTCAGCTTTGCTCAGATGTCATTTACCTTCCAAATGCCATCCACTGATGTCGCAATCGATGGAACCATCAAATTGAATAGCCAGGTGTCAATCAATGCATGTGTGGTCTCCACTCATCCCCCTCAACACTGTCATTCTTTGGCTTGACTCCCATCAGGTATCCTTCTAGTCTCTTCCTCATTAGAGCAGCTTCGATCCGACGTGACCAACTCAAATATGTGGCCGGTTCATCGAGTTTCAGATCCACAGAAGGGAGATCTAGCTTCACTTGCATCGGAGCACGTGTTGAGGTAGTGGCTCCCGTCGAGACACTGCTCCCTATATGAGCCCGACCAAGACTTTCAAAACGTCAGGATATATCTTCTCCAAAAGTTTCAATTTTTTACCTCCCGCAACATCTCATCTCTTTACATCCTCAATCACAAGGATAAATCTTGATCACACAGAACTCACGCGACTTTCTTCCTGCAAATTTGTGTGATTTGCTTGCTTTAGCCTGCAAAAAGCCACAATCCCTTTGTCTCGCATGCAAAACTGCAGCTGCTTTGATCCTCTGTCTCCCTGTCGTCAAGTGGAACTCCAGACACTAAGCCCTGCTCCGTTGCTTCCTCCTGCAGCAAATTGCTGAAGCCCTTTGCGACCTAACCCTGCGAGACCCTCCTTCCACTCGCAACAAACCGCAGCAGCCCTGCTCCTGTGATACGCTTCTATCCTTCCGAGTCGGTCGCAATCAGAGATTCTGGGAAGGCGACGACGAAGTGGTGAGGTGCTAGCGTACCAAGACAGTCGCGAGTCGCGATGGCTTCTATGAAGGCGACGGGAGGCAAGGTTCTAGGGGTGGTTGTGATACCAAAAAGAATTATTTTGTGAAAAACTTACTCATTTCATTAATGCATTGGGCTTATATAGATTCTTACAATATTTATAAATAAATCTCTAGGCCTCAACTTCTCCTATTTATAAATAGTACCTTACATTATATACAAATCTGAACTACTTGATTAATAAACTGCAGAGCCATAGATTTGAAATATTAAACAGTTTTCACTTCACCAAAACTTGCAAACTAGGCTTTAGTACTTCTTGAAGATCCTTATAATGTTGGCTTGTTCAGGTGGCTGATTTCGAAGGTCCTATTGCTTAGTAATACTTATCACAGAATGACTTTCTAATTCTTGATTATTACATTCATCTTAATGAATACATGAACGCTTTAGTACGAGTTTCCTTGAAATTTGTGTTTACATTACTAAAGTAAAACAGTTACAAAATAGGTTACTAAAAGGGTAATAAAAAGACCCCAAAAAAGCAAAAAACAAAACTATGCCCAATGGACATTTACAGGATATGCACTATCTTCCTTTAAAACCAAAAAAGGGGGTCATTATCATTTACATGGTGTAAAGTGAAATCCCTTTCTAAGGCCATCTTTGCACAAGTATGGGTAGCCATGTTGTTTTCTCTCTTTGTATGTTTGAACAAAACTTGCTTCAAACAATGTAAGAAAGCAAAATTTGGATTGTTGGGAGATTGATGTTGCCATGATTTCATGTCCATAGTGTTCCTCAAGTAATGAATGACATTGACGTTGTCCCTTTCGATAATAACCCCCTTACCTTCAAACATCCAATCCTTGAGGAGGGCATGAAGAGATGCCACGGCTTGGAGTTCCACAAAGAAGCTGTCCCAATGCAAAAAATTTTGTCCTGAAGCCACATTTACCAATAGCCTTACATTTGTAAGGGAGAAGTGTTCCATCAACATTAACTTTGATCCGCTCCGTGCTCCGGTTCTGGAGGGAAGTGTGGGTTGGGGAAGACTTCAAGAAGATTCAAAGCAATTTAAGTTGGTGTGCATGACTTTTAGCATGTTTTTTGACATTTTTATTTCGCCAACAAAGATATACTGAATTGCAATAAAGTCTCGCCGTCAGGATGTGATAGGATGATATACTTTGCAGCTTGGAAAGTGCATCTTCAAAATTAAAAAAACTGGGTACTGCTCCTTGTTCTGCTTCTGGCACAAAAGTGAAATAATATTTCCTTGTAATTTTCTTGAATTGTTCAACAGCTATCTTCTTTTTTAATCAAAAAGTACACATTTACCACAAAGGAATTTGAACATTGTTTTCTTAGGAATTTATTCCCTATCTAGCTTGACATTTAGATTGTTTCTTTACATGTGCATGTATTATAGCTTTTCATTCTACAGAGTTTTTGGCCTTGTGTAAATTGTTTGGAAGAACTTTGAAATAAAATGCACTTTGATAGCTACCTCTGATGTAAGTGCAGGAAATTCATTCGTGATTTTTGAGATTTTATGATTATAGTTCCTATCTAGGAACTCAACTTCCCTCATTTTATATCAAGCGAAGGCTGACAATGGGTTCTGGAACCCTGATCTTCTCCTGCAAATAAGCCCTCAGCATAAGTTGGGTTTCATTCTTTCAAGAAAAAAAAAAGGAGGGGAATAAATGAAGTTCTACATATTTTAAATTGGAAATTACTTTTAGAAATTCTTTATCAGAGAAAATTTGATGTACTATTTAGCTGAGCCATGCATGCTCCTGAAATGTACATTCATTTAGATTTTTGTTGCTATCTTCTCCTTCTTCCATTCATTTCATTCTCTACAAGGTTTGCGATCAGCTCCTCTTTGTGCTCTAATACCATCTTTTGCTAAATTATCTAATCTGGTGCATGTTTTCTGGGTGAAACAATCCCTTTACTCTGAAATTTGGATTCGATGTTTTCCCTTTCTTCCTGGGATTATGTATGTTATCAGTTATTATATCAATAAAGATTGCATTTGGCAAATAGTCTGCGTCGACTTCTAACAAGTAATGCAGCTTATTGTGCGCTTTAACATTATAATAGCTAGCTAAACATGCATAGATTATTCAGGTTTGCTTAAATGTTTTTGAATTTTCCTTGGAATTTTTTTATTAGGTGTTTTCAGTTATATTAAGCTTGGATAGTTTCTATATATGCTCAAGTTTTTAGTAGATTTAAATCGATATGCAATTTTTTAGATTGCAGAAGCTCAATATGCTCATAAAGATCTTTTTCTCTCCAGTTAACTTGTGTAGGCAGCAGAATGCTTTACCGATTGAGGAAACTTGGTGACGATAGGTGCTTCATTGATGAAAGGCAAGGCTTTTATGCCCAAGATGGTTATTATATTCAGGATCTATCCTTCAAAACAAAGGCTGCCAAATTCATATATTCACCTGTTGTGGAAACGCCTGACTTATCAGCTTTCCAGGATCCTTCCACTCTTCCTCCATTTCCAAATAGTTTTGATGATATAGTACGCGGTTTTCCAAATGAAAATATCGATGAATATGATAACTGGAGTTGCTTAGCAAATGAGATAAACAATGCGTGTCCTTTGGGTGATAATCTTAAATTTGTTGAAGATTCATATATGCTAAATCGTGAACTAGAAGGTGAATATTTGTTTGGAATAAACCATGGAAGCATCTCCTTGGAAGCTCTGGAATCACAGAATATGAATCTGTTGCCTGTTGCGAATTCAGAACAGTTTACTGATTTTCTTGATCAAAATCTGGATGGACTATCTAATTTGGACTCTGATGCTGCACCAGATACTTTACCTGGGAGCCCAATGGTGACTCCTGATATGCAGGAAGTGGCTTCCAAGGAATCCACATTTCTGAAGGAGGATGTTGGTAGTTTTTTCTACGGAATTGAGGAATCTATGGACAAACTGCTAAATCAAGCTCAAGACTCAGTGGCTACAACTTTTAATGTATGGAAGTTATCACTGTCAGATACAGTGAAGGGTGTCACCGAAGCTTATGATAGTGCAGTCAGTAGCTTAATTTATTCTATTGATAACTTCAAGGGAGAAACCGGTAATCAATTGGCTGGGTTCACAATCAAATTCGAAGAAAATATCTCTAAGGCAGGTGCTGCAGTTATTGACATTCTAAGATGGATGATAGTTGGCGTGGAGGTTGGTATCTCCAAGGGTGTAGCATTTGTTGTTTATAATTATGCATCAGCAAAGACAGTTTTTCCAACAGATATAAGAAACGCATTAAATCTGATCGAAGATGATGTTACCCGCAGTCTAAGTCCAATTGGGGGCACCCTTCAAAAGGTATGAATGATGATTCGCAGTTAACATCATTTTCTCAATATTTTTCCTTGTAATGCAATTATTTGTTCTATATTTATCCAACCAAGGTTTTTGAAGCCATCAAAGAAATTGAGAGAAATCTTGGCCTAGACCCCAATGATCCATTAGTTCCATTCCTACTTTTAATTGGCACCACAACGACTATAGGGTGAGTTCTTTGCATCCCAGCATTTCTGGACTAACATAACTAAATTTATCAATCTGTTTTGAAATCTAGAAGGTACTTCTGTGAAGTTACTCATTTAATATTCTTGTTGTTATTATTGCAGAATATCATACTGGCTCTTCACATACGATGGGTACTCTTTGTCCCCTGAAAGAACTTCAGAGCTTCTTAAGAATGACAAAAATGTTTTGCTTGTTGATGTCCGGCCTGAGGCAAGAAACTGTAAATTTCAGCAGCCTCTTTTTGTTCTAGTAGCACTTTTATGACATTTCACATAATAGGCATGTACTACGGTTTGTAGAGACCTTTTAACAATCTTTTTTCAATGCGCAAGGGCACGCTTTTTTATTTAGGGTAGCAAATTGCATCTTTGTACCTACATTAAAGACCTACCATTATTTTGAACTTGGCACCTAAGCATTTTTATTTTTAAGCCAGGTTGCTATTGGATGTTTCAATACAAAATTTTGTAATTGTTCCATCAAAGTGTTATTAAATAAAAGGCTATGAAGTATACAAGGTGATGTAAGGTATCTCAGGGTTTTTTATTTACTAATTTAGACCTTGACTGAGCCAAACAAAACTCATACAAAAAAGTCAGATTTGCAGCCTATTGGCTTTAATCCAAACAAAAGGGTTCTCTTTTGATAAACTTAAAAACATATAAATTCATTTCAAAATTTAATTTTAAGATCCAATCATAAATTGTGCAAGACATTCTAAATAAAAGAAAATCATGATCCATAAATTTTGCCAGAAATTTTGCTTCAAAGAAAATCACGATCCATGATATCCATGTTAAAGAGGCCACACGAAATAAACCAAGGGGAGTTTGGATTTTGGGTGGTTCAAAAAACCAAATACCCAATTTTTTTAATGGAGAAGACTATGCAAATATATACTCAAAATTGTCTCGTCTCTCTCTTTGAGTTAACCCTCTCTTAAAATTCCTTAAAACTCAAGGTCTATTAATCACTCTTAATCAACACCAAGCAAATTTTTTGTTGACTAACAACTGTACCATATCAAATCCGACTTTCCTTGGTAGAATAGGACATGTTGTTCAAATCATGTGCTCATTTAATGTTGAATGTCATACAATTTATGTTGTACATTTATTATATAAAATTATAAATTTAAATTAGAAATTTATGAGGTATGATGCTCATTATTGACGCCACAAACACTATTATGATTTCTTGACTGTTACCATTACTACATAATGATCAATTTTCTCTGATTCGAAATTAGCACATCTCTCAAATTTCCTCATGCTCTTTGACTCTCGGGTGCTCAACTTCTTGGCAGTCCCCATGTGGCTCTCAAGAATTTAATTGATATCCCTTAGGAGCTCTTTTTTGTTATGGAAACTAATTTTATGGCTTAGAATCCTCTTAATAACATCACATTATCTTCTCAAAGAGTTCTCTTCTCGTTTACCATTGTCACCTCAATTGATCCTCCTGTCATTGAAACACTTGATCCTGTCATCATATGTTCGCTCTTCAGGAGATGATTCACACCTATGCCTCAATTTGGAGGAGAGAAAGAATTTAAGGATTTATCTATCAAGTCTACCACTTTGCCTTGAAGTCCACTGCTACCCTCGCCTAATTCATATCAGACCAGGGCGCATTCGTGGGTGGTTGTGATTTTTTCTATAAAAGTTGGTCTTCATTTAGCTGGTATTTTTGGCCTAACCATAGGTCATCGAGAGAAGGTAGGTTTTTTTTGTGCATTGTCATCCAACATTGAAGGCTCGAATAATTTCATAATTTTCACATTCATCTTCGAGTAGATTTCTAATAAGTAGGTCAGTCCACATACTTAGACATCGATAAGCAGAATAACTCATTTATGAGAAGACATCTAGAAAGCTCATAACTGTATGACCTACCGCTGAATCTATCAAGACGTCGATCTGTGGTAGGGGATGATTTTGTTCGAGTAGGCTGAATTCAAGTGGATAAAGTTCACACATATTCTTCATTTGTTGTTCGCTTTGTAGACCATCACCATATTTTCTAGCCAATCCGAATATTGAACTTTACAGATGAAGTTGGCTTCCAAGAGCTTCTGAATTTCTTGTTAGATAAGTTCAACCAAAGTAGTGGCCACGGTTCACATTTTTTGCTTGACAGATCTAGCATTGGGTTGAGGTTGAGCCAAGGCAAGCAATGTCGATATCAACTCCAGACATGTCGCGGTCCACCCGAATACATCGTGGTGATCCCTCGAGGTTTAGGTCAATTGCTTTTTGTGCTCGTGACGTAGTTTAGAGTTGATTTGAAATTTTCACTCGTATTCTTCTTCAGAGACATTGCATATGTTTAGTGGCCTCAGAGGTTTCCATGCTGATCCATTTATGGGCGTTGAGCTTGAAGGAATTCTCTTGCACGTTCCCAACAACTCACAGGTAGCACCCTCGAGATTGAAATAAGCCCCTCCCCCCAAGCAGTGATGATTTCTCCTGTTCCCAGAAATTTGATATATACGTGATAGGTGAAAATTATCACCTTAAATACAATGAGAACCAATCTGTCGAAGATGGTATTATAAGTGATCAGAGTGTCTACCACTATAAAATATGTTATGCATGTGTATTGCTAATTTGTTTCCCAAGTTACCGGCAGGGAGATAACTCTACAGGTCCCTTTCTTTTCCTGAGAACCTAAGGAGATGTCCCAAAGTAAGAGTGAGTTGAACATTCGTCATATTCATCTTCTGGAATACTTTCTCGAAAAAGATGTTGACAGAGCTCCCCATATCCACCAAAATACTTTCTGGGACACTTAATGATTGTCGATTACTACAATAACGAATATAACGTTGTTAAAAGGGTTCTCTCCCTCGGGTAAGTCAGCTCCTATGAAAGTTATCGGTAGGTGATTGAAAATGGTAGCTCTAGTTTGGCTAACGGAATGAATGTCTCCTAATTTCACCCGCTTCAAACTTGAACGTTTTGTGGCTTCAAGTCCGTCCCCACCGAAGATGATGGGCACGACACCGACGATATGCACTATTGTGGTGGGAGCTGGTTCATAAAAAACGGTCTCGGCTGGTGCTTCTCCTTTCCTCTAAGTATGGGCTTTTGGCCAACAAATTCTTTCAACTTTTCTAATCAAATAAATGTTTGAATCAAATTTCAGAGGTGACGACATTCCTTAGTATCATACCCATGGTTATGATGATAGGCATAATGTTTGTTGGGATTTCATTGGAAGCTCCCGACTTCTATTCGTGGAGGTCTCGTGACCTCTATAATTTGGACCATAGATACTCGCGGATGAGTGATATCCAACTCGAAGGGTTGTGGTGCCTCCTATCTCCTTTCTAGTTTTTTTACAATAAATAAGTCTTCGATCGGATTGTTTCGGTCGCTGCTGTGGTTGAGAATATCTCCCGGGGACATCTCGTCGGTTTGCTTGTGTGAATTTGCATTTGGGTCCTAGATGTTTGTGAGAATTTCTTTTAAGGAGTTTCTTCTATGATCTTTCCATGTCATAGGAGTTTGACAAAGAATAATATTCTTCGGCCGAGATGTGATCATTGGCTAATTTAAGGAGTTTAACTAAATTTTTTGGCTTTTGCATGCCAAGTGCGCATCAGAACGGGCTTTCACGTACGTTTTTGCGTGAGTGCCGCACGAGCAATAGAAGGCCAAGATTTTTAACATCAAACATCTTGCGTTGAAATTTCGTAATAATGCTCTGTAAGCTTTCGAATGGAGCACATCCGATTCTTAGCAAAGCTTGAGAAAATTTTTGCAACTTTTGAGCCATGATGAATTGAGCTATGAATATCTGTTTGAATTTGCTGAAAGAGGTAATAACACCTATTGGCAAGTTGTTAAACCAACGCAAAGCTGACTCCTTGAGTGTTGTGAGGAATGAACGACAGTTAGGGGCATGATTTACTCGTAGCAGACAAGTTTCTGATTAGAAAGAAGCTACATGATTGGTAGGATCAGTTCTTCCTTTGTAAGAGTTTAGTGAAGGAATTTTGAACCTTTTGGGGGTTCGGCTTCAATGATTTTCTGGGAGAATGCATTGTATAGTAGTCTTCTTCTTCTTCATCTTCCTCTTTTCTCATCTTCTGAGGACTTCGACGTCTCTTCTCCGGAGATAGGCAACACATCGTAATTATCTTCCTCTACTTCTTCTAATACCAGATCTAGGGCTCTCATCATCCTAAATCGGAATGCCTCTTTTTTGAGTGACCGGTCCCTTTGTTGTTCTTGCCTTCACGCCACCAAACTTGACAACCCCATATGACTTCTCGAAAGGTTTTTAGAACATGTTCTAGCCTCTTGCCTTACTTTTTCTATCTTCTTATTCATTTGTTCTTTGAGTTCATTCATCTGTTGCGCACGAATTTTATGGTGCAATCTATCTTTGTTCATCATTTCTCCTTGAAATAAAATATCTCCTTGCTAGATCTTGATAATGAGTTCTACGCTCACCAGAACTTTAAGGATGCTGAATCCTTTTGGGACATGAGATCCCGTATAATTTGTGAATTCATACAATACGACAGAGACATTGAAGAAGTGTTGAGAAGAAGCTGAGGGATTTTTTGAGAGAGGTAATCAGAGAGTTTGTTGAGGGTCTAGAATTGAGACATCCACTCCCTCTTCTATTTTCCTTCCTATTTATATGCTATAAAGCCTATGTACTTGCGTAGGGGTTTAAAGAATAAAACATAAAACTAAGTTATAAGCCGTGTATAGTACGGAGCCTAAGTAGGTTCGTTGTCGACCAAATTGTTGGCGTGGATTGTCATGTTGCTAATAAATAACAATAGGTATATTGACGAACTGAAGTTTTCTTCCTTATATCTTAAAGAACAACCTATCGAGCTCGGTGATGTGGCTAGATAATTGTCGATGAGTTTGGTGGAAGGTCCATCCAACTCGTGCGAATTTGGAATAAGAACTTAGGGAATGCGAGTCAGCTTGCTGGAAAAACTCACATGAAGAGTAAGGCTGGATAAACTCATTCTGAGGAACTCGCAGGAACGTTGACGTACTTCAAAGGTCCTCACGAGATCCTTCTGTGCGACAAGAAGATCTATAAATTGTCACTTTCAAATGTATAACTAATGAGCATGATTGGTCTGGTCAGCGTCAGACCATTGAATGCACGACCGATGGGTTCGATTCATTAATCTCATGAGGCTCATTTAGTATTTGAGCTTTTCTATTGCTTAAAGAAACTCATTTTCAGTTATACTCTTTTAATGAAAAAGAGGTAAACAAAAAAATGAAAGAAAAAAGAAAAGAAAAAAAAAGAAATAAAATATCGTGTATTTGGTTCTCATTGCAAACTTGTTTTCCCACATCCTTGTTGTTCTCCATACATGAAGGTATAGAAAATGCCACCTCTCAAGAAGTTTGTCACAATTAGTAGAAACTATGTGATTTTCTTAGTATGGTGGGGAAACTCGCAAGCAATACTCGTGACGTGGTGGGTAAACACTGTGCACATCTTTTAGCATGTTGGGGAAATTCAATTTTAAGTACTAATGTATGCATGTTGTTTCAAAATCAATAGAAGGAGAAAATTTCTATATAAATATTTATGCAATTACATGAAAACATATACATGCCTTTCTTGGTATTGTAGGGTAGAAAATTGTGGTGATTGTGTCCTATAATATCGATCGGGTATGTCTTTCTTGGCGTAGTAGATAAATGTAAACTCCTTGTAGGTGTTCCCTTGCTAAGGAGATGTCGGGAGACTGTCAAAATATTTTTTGAGTAGACTAAAAAGAATAATTAAAAGAGACTTGGATTCCATATATGACAAATATAATAGAAAGGTGAATAAGAAGAATCAGTATATAATTGCAAAACATGATAAAATTATAATTAAAAAAATAAAATATGCTACATCAGATGAACCATAATTGAAGTAAAATCATACACAAAGAGAACTTGCAGGGAGCTCGACAGCTCGACAAAAGCATGAACAAGATCTTTTCAGTAAACACTTAGGACCCTGTGAATTTTGAAATGAAGATCCATTGTGAAAATAGCTAAGGAGACTCTTAATTTCTAGGACTGCTTATGGAGTCTATTTGAAAAAAAGGGGGCTAAATGTAATGTTTAAAACACAATAAGATTCATACTAGCAAATATTTACCATCAAATTTGCAACACATGTGCAAACGAACCTAAGGGGGTTTTTTAAAATTCAAAAATGAAACACCACACATATCTTAAGGATAAAATCATTCACTCAAATAATCAAAGTGCAGATAATAAATTTTTAAGTCATGTACATGCATCACGAGATAACTTTCAAAATACTTTGAAAAAAAATGCATTATAACTTTCAAAATGCTTTGAAAAAACTGCATACCTATCATGTAATTGCATAAAAAATCAAGTGCATAAAAATTTTTGTAAATGCATCATATGAAAACTGCGTATGCACATCGTAAAAATATGCACATTTCATAAAGGCATGCCAAAAACAATATTTGCACGTGCTCTAACATATGTGGTAAACATTCAAACTTAAAGTTAGAGAATATTGCACAGACTGAGAGTTAGAAAAATAAAGCTAAATCTTACTAGTCTAAAAGTGTGCAATTAGTTTGAGCTTCATGAACTTAAAAAATTCAATTGTGTTGCTCAAGTGGGCCTCCTTTCCTACATGGCTAGACTGAATGTCTCACATTTCAAGTTCAATACTTCACTTCTCAAGGATTAGCAGGACTTGTACCTCACAGTGATATTAATAGAACAAATGTCCAAACGAACACAAACGTATGTTAAAATGTGAGCTTGATCCTCTTCAATTAAACAATGAGTTGATAAAGTTAAAAGTAACAAAATTTAATTGAGTTCCTCTATGATGAGCATGAACATTGCATATTATAATTAGAGGTGTCTTTCCACAAGATCAAGTTCCCGATTGTAAACACAAATGCTTCAAGCAATTACATCTATGATGGTCGTGCCCACAACATGCCTCTAGTGAAAACGATCTAATTTTCAAAATGCCCTGAATCCATGTGCAAATTATTTAAATTTAAAATAAAAATAAAGGTATCAACATCTCAAGTAAAATTATAAAATTGAAATATTTCGGATAAGTTTACTACTTAAAGCTGAAGATTGATAATTCCCTACCCTTCTCAGTATTTTGTTTAATGTGACAAATTAAAACTTAAGCTCACAAAGAGCTATGACCACTCTCAAAGTTCGATTGAGACATAAATTATTGATTTGTCATAAAAATTGCCTCTTTGCAAAGCAGGGTAAGATTGCATATATCAACCCCTTCACAAACTCCACAGTGGTGGTAGCTTTGCCCATTGGGTAAGCCCTTTCTTGTTGTCAACAGGATCGACACTTTATGGAGTACTATGTAGCATTTTGTCTTCATTTACCCTTAGTATTTAGAGAAAATCACCTCTTCTTCAGAAAGCGTAGCTGTGCAAAGCCTATCAAATCAGATTACCTCTAATGAGATTGCCTTAATATTTTGTTTGAAACTCTATTTTTTATGCAGGCTATAAGAGAAAGAGATGGCATTCCTGCATTCCTGATCTTCGGCGAGAAGCTAGGTCTAAATATGCAACTATAAATCACATCGAGGTTAGTCAATTTCCTTTTTTGGAATCTATCAATTTCTGTTCAATAAGTATAGCACTTAAGAATGATCGCTTGTTATTTTAAATCCTATATCCACATCAATGGTTTGGCACGTTATCAGTATCATCTTGAAACATTATATTGTTTATTTTCATGTCAGGATGTTTTTTTGGACACAGCTGTGCATAGTTAACAGAAGGCCGGTTGTACTTTTAGAGTATGCATCTTTGTGGCTTTTTGAGTGCTACTGCACATAGTTGCAACGATGGATGAGCTGTAGTTTTAAAGTATGCATCTTTGTTTCTAGCCATTTACAAACACAAATTTTTCTCTTATTAGTACTGGTGCTCTCAAGTAATGTTAAAATGAAGAATTATTTAAGATGATAACTCTTGATGTCGGAGTTAACCAAACAATAAGAAAAATTTCAAATTTTATTACGGAAAACAAATAGTGGAAATACAAAAGACACACAACACAAATACCAAACTAGGGCTTGAATCGAAGGTAGTGGGAAGGTTGCAGCAAGGGGCTACGGTTTGGAGGGATAGGAGGTTGGGATGGGGGTGGCAACAGTAGGTATGCGAGGTGGCTGGCGACTTGACTGCAATAAGGAAAGAGGAGGCTGTAGGTTGGGCGACAATAAGGACGGGGTGGAGCTGGCTGCAACGGAACATCAAACAGGCAAGGTTGGTGGCAGGAGAGCAGCAGGCAAGGAAGGATGACGACAAGGGAGTAAGAGGTAGGGAAGGCTGACATCAGGGAAACAAAATGCAACCGACAGGGTTGCGACAGCCGGTCAGATGGCTGGAATGAAGGCTGGAGAAGCAGGGAACGGTAGCTAAACACTATCTTAGGATGTGTTATAGTTGGAGCACCTTCTTGCCTTTGGATACAACCATAGGAGGGAGAATTAGAGACACCAACAGTTGTCCCGACATAAACCATAGAAAACTAAAAACCTAAGACCAAGAAAACACATATATAAGCTTTAGATAACTAGGATTGGATTCCCCTATGGAAAGAATGAGCCACACCATGATGGAAGAGCCGATTAGTCCTCAATTTGGACTGATTCGGTCCAAACAAAGGAAGCATGAGATTTTTTCCACGGCTCCCTGTTACGCTGCATTTTCCCACGATTCCCCTATTATGCCTGTGTCAGTCTCCTGGTGTTGACGAAGCTTTGGCCTCATTTGTTGAAGTTTCTGAGTCATCGTAGTATGGAGTCAAGTCTGCCACGTTGAAGGTGGCAAAAATATTGTAATCCCCTGGCAAGTTGATCATGGAAGTGTTGTCATTTAGCTTCTTGAGGATTCTAAAATGTGCTCTGGGCATGAGCTTCCCAATAGATCCCGTGGGGAATCTCTCTTTCTTCAGTTTGATTTATACTAAATCTCCCTCTTAAAATGTCACCCTCTTCTTGGTTTTCTTAGCTCGAGTCTAGTACTTATGATTTTATCTGTTGAACTCTTTCCTAATCTTCTCGTGTAGCCTCTGATTCTTCTAAACCCTTGTCTCAACATTTGTACCAAACTCCGACGTAGGAAGAACCAGTACAACTTTCATGGAGTGAGTGGATTATGCTCATACATAATCTGAAAGGAGGTACGTCCCAAGTTTGACTCACATACTCATTGTAAGAAAATTCGGCTTGGGCTAGAATCAAGTCCTATTGCTTGATCTTTAGGCGATTCCCAGACTCTGTTCACAACTTCGGTTTAACCATCTGTTGTGGATGAGTTGTTAAGTTGAATTAAAGTGTAGTACCAAGTTTTTTTCCACATGGTTTTCAAGAAGTGAATTACAAACTTGACATTCCCTATCAAATGTAATGGTTCGGGGCACCCCATGCAGCCTCAAGTTCTCTCTGAAGTATAAGTCAACGAAATTTAATGCATCTATTTTCTGGTGGCACTGCATGAAGTGAGTCATCCTCGAGAACTTGTCAACCACTACCATCACTGAATCTTTGTTCCGTTGCATCCTGGGAAGACCCACCACGAAATATATGCTAACGTCCAACCAAGGAGCCTCTGGTATCGATAATGGTGTGCTAGCTTTGTATTTTGCCCTCTTGTCTTGGCTAAGTGACAAACTCTGCACTGTCAAACATATCACTCCACTTTTTCCATCAGGCGGGGCCAGAAAAAGTCTCTTTACTAGTAAGAGGGGCTTGTGTATGCCAAAATGCCCTACTATGCACTGTTGTGACTCTCCTGGATGATGGACTTTCTTAACGAGTGTCTAGGAAAATACAACCTGTTATGGTGGAATTGTAGCCTTCAACTTCATAGTACTTTCCTGTAGGTTTTTTCTAACGCTTTTCAGATCTCCCTGAAGTCCTCATCTGTCCACACACATCTTTCACCACCTCGAATCCTACAACTCTGGCTTACATGGACGTCGTCATTAAATGGTAGCGGCCTAGGGTATCTGCTGCTCGATTCTGATTTATTGTCTTGTGCTTAAGCATGAATTGGAATGGTGCCAAGAACTCAACCCAAAAGGAAGCATGTCTGCCCTTTCGCTTGCTCTAACTGTTCAAGAACCTCAGAGCCTTGTGTTCTATGAACAAAGTGAACTGGCTATTAAATAGATGTGACTGTAGTGGTGAGGAGCTCTCACAATGGCATAGAAATCCATGTTGTATTTTGAATATTTTCTTCGGGACTCATTCAATTTATGGTGATAGCCGCTGCACACATCAATGTTGGAAAAGGTAATGACACCATGTAAATGGTCTAATAGATCGTTCAGGAGAGGTGTAGGGAATTTGTACTTGATGGTAATTTTTTTGATAACTTGACTATCGATGCACATCCTCCATAACCAATCCTTCTTAGCCACCATCAAAGTGGGCAAATCACACGAGCCAATACTCTCTATCACTAATCCTCTCTGAATGAGATCTTGCACGTGTCTTTGCAACTCCTCATGCTCAACTGGTCTCAATCTGTAAGCAAGTCTATTTGGTATTACAAATTCAGGGATAAGACCAATGACATGATGAATATGCTGAAGTGGGGCTAGGCCCTCTAGTAAGCTTTCAGTCCTCATATCCTGCAATTTGACTGGCAGTGCCTGGACCACCTCTGATAGGTGCTGCATGAGATCTCAGTTTTCTCTGCATTGTGCGTTGCTGGTTCTCCAGAATCCTTGATGGGCAAGAGAACGATGTGTTTCCCCTCTTTCATGAACGAGTAAGTGTTCTTAAACCCAACATGCTAATTTTTGCGATCAAACTACCACGATCTTCCCAACTGAATGTGATAGGCATCCATGGCACCACGTCACACCACACCTGATCTTGGAGCTGGTCACCAATGGAAAACTCTACCAAGCACTGCCGATTTGCTTGAATCTCATTCTCCTTATTTACCTAGGTCGGCGAGTAGGGTTAGCAATGCTTTTGCTTGGACCAAGTTCTCACAGAGCCCTCCATCAATAATGAGGTTGCACACTTTTCCCCTCATTGTACGCCTGGTGCGGAAGATGTTGTGCCTCAACCATGAGTGATCCTTTCGTGGTTCTGTTTGCAGAATTCTTCTCACAACTAGCTTCTCTTTTTCATCTTCCTAGAGTTGGTATTTTCCACCCTATTTCTCAGTTGTCCCTTCATCATTCACTTCCTTCATGGCGCCCTGCTCGGTGCAGGACATAACTTGGCTCATTGGGCAGTTGGAGGTGATGTGTCCATACCCATGATATCTAAAATATTTTCTGGCTGGAACTGTACTAGGCGTTATATTCTTCTCAGGCTTTTTCCCACCCTGATATGCCTTGTAAGTTCCTTGTCCAATCTTTCCCACTCCTCCAAGCATTCTCTTGTTGGGCCTCCGGTTTTACGTGGTTGTCGGAGTGGAGGCGGGTACAACTGCTGCTTTTACTATCTCTCTAATTTCAGCTCTAAGGTCTGCACGTCCATCAGTGTCCAATAGGTTTGTTGGATCACATTACTGTTGGTCTGCTTCAGTCCTCCCAAGTACGTGGAGCTCCTATTGCAGGTATAAATTGTATAAATATCCCGTTGATAGTGCGGTGGTAGGTACTGTCGTTTCATCGTCTTCATCTTCTCCCAATAAGTGACTTTGTCCTTCTTTTCTCTCTATCTCTTACTCTCCAGGTTCTCCCACCACAAAGAGGCATTCTCCGTCAGATTGATGGTGGCGAGCTTCACTCTTCTGCCATCAAGCATGTCCTTGTATTCAAAGATCCGCTTAACAATCTACACCCGCTCGAGAAAATCATCTTTGTTCAAACTCCAGCTGAAGTCTGGTAGATTCACTTTTTCTCCAGATCTTTGTTCCCTCTAGTAGGCAATTTCCTCTCTCAGCCTCATCTAATATTGAATCCTGAAATGTCTTGGTCGATCCTCCTCTTCGTTGAATTCTTCTCTCCATAAAGAATTCAAATGTTCTTCTCGCTCTCCATCTCGGATCTCACTGTTACAATTGACAGTGTTCCCCTTGGGTCCTTTCCTCAATGGTATCAAGTCGCTGTAGTAATTGGTGAAGTAGTCGTTGTATCTCGTCCATGGTGAACTCCTGATCAGGTTCTGGCAAAATTCTCCTTAGCGCCATTATTAGATTTTGGGTGTGATGTATGGATGGCAAGAAAAAAACTAGGTGAAGATATAGGGGATGCTAGAAATCTTATGACAGGACTAGGGTTAAGTTAGTTTTGATATTAAATGATACCGGAGTTGAGTAAACAATAAGGAAAAATGCAACTGTTATTACGGAAAACAAATATGGGGTTACAACAAACACACAACGGGAAATACAAAAGACACACAACACAAACACCAAACTAGGTCTTGAATCGTAGGTGGCGAGCATGGGGATACGGTTGAGAGGGAAATGAGGTTGGGATGGGGAGGCCGCAGCAAGATATGCGAGGTGGTTGGCGACTGAATTGCAGCAAGGAAAATGGAGGCTGCAGGTATGGCAGCGGCAAGGATGAGGTGGAGCTGGTGGCAGAGGAGCGAAGGGGAAGTAGCAGGCAAGGAAGGCTTATGTATGGATAAGCACTACCTCATAACGAGTTATAACCGGAGTACCTTCTTTCCTTCGGATACAACCTTGGGAGGGAGAATTGGAGACGTCGACGGCCCGACAGAGAACACGAGAAAACTAAAAACTTAAGACTTAGAAAACACATATATAAGCCCTAGATAATAAGGATTGGATTTCCCTATGGAAAGGAGTCAAACTACGGTGGAAGGTTCGACCTTTTCTCCCCAATTGGATTGGTTCGGTCCGGACGAAGGAAGCGCGGGATATCTCCTGTGGCTCCTTGTTACGACGCGTCTCCCCCCCGAGAGAAATTTGCGTATGTAAGAGGTATGTAGCGTTGCGTACGTCCGAGAGGTTATTTAGAGGGTATTACCCCCTGTAACCTCTTTACAACCTACCTGTACCTTCTAGTAAGTTTTGCGCTTCTGTTTTCATATACAGGTAGGTTACAGGAGGTATAACGCTGTTATAACCTCCTCAAATTCTCCCTGTAACATGTTCCCCCAATACCCTTTGAATAACCTCCCTGACGTACGCATCGCTGCGTACGTCTTACGTACGCATCGCTGCGTACGTCTTACATACGCAAATTTCGCTGCGTACGTCTTACCATACGCAAATTTTCCTCCTGTTACACCCGCATGAACTCTTTTTTTATAATTTATTTTGCACCGTTAATTGCATTTAGTATTTTATAAGGTCTGAAGGTACCCTCATTGCTCTGTGGGTTAAAGCTGCATGTTCAACCCCTTCATATTCTTTTTCATAAGTCCGCTGTCCAGTTAAACAAGGAGTGGATTTGTTTCTTTTCTATTTGAATTATTGTTGGTTACAATTATTGTTTGATTTTTTTAATTTTGCAGATTGATAATTCAATCAGAAAACTGCTGAAGGGGGGTAAGGAGATTGACAATGCCTTAACTGCCGTGGTTATACGAAACTTAAAAAACAGTAAGGTGTGTCATTGTGGTTTACAACTAGTCTTATGTTGAGTTTTGTTTTACAAAAAACAGCGATATATTTCGTTGTTCTGTTTTGTAAATAGAAAGGAACAAAGTTTGTTATCATGGATTCTGATACTAGAAGATCTAAAGCCATTGCAAGGTCATTAAAAAAACTTGGCGTGAAGGCAAGTATTAATGCAGAAAGGTTTTAAGCTTCATTTATAATTAATTTATACTGCTTAACATTTTTTTTTACTCTGTTTGAGTATAGGAATCTTACTTGGTCGAAGGCGGTTTCCAAGCTTGGACAAGAAATGGACTCTGCATTAAAGAACCCAGAGTAGAAACTGCTCTTACCCTATTGAATGAGGTGCTAAAAACCTGCAGTTGATTTTCCATCATTTTATCATTAAAATACTTGCTCGACCAAGAACGGTGTCTTGTAAATGCTGAAAGTTGTAATATGTAAATTTTTATATATTATTTGATTCAGTATTACTCCCCATTTGTTTTTTGGCTATGCTACCATGCTATAGCATTCAGTTAACATAGAGATATGTACTATCGATATAATCATGCACATACCATTTTATAAAGGGCTGCTCATTTTACTCCCATGCTTCACTGAATCGAGTGTTTACTATTACATATTCTTTTCCTTTAAAGAAAATTTTCTATTATGTTGTAATTATATGGCTTATTCAATATACTTAAGATTTATGGTAAATGATGCACATGTTTTGTTTTCCATTTATAAGGATTAAAAAATTTGTTTTGAATTGTTAATTTTCAATTTACCATTATGTTGAAGTGCTATAAAAGTTAGTTTTTTTTTTTCTTTTTTTTAAAATTTTCTTCTTAACATTCTTTACACCTCAAGCATACAATTGTGGAATCTTATCCAGGAAGTGGAGGCAATCCTTGAAGAAATTAGACCTTCCCCAGTACAATTTGTTGGATATGGACTGGTAAGATCGTAGGTTAAGAGTTCAATTTTATTAAGAAAAAATCTGTAGAAAATCCTTGCCTTGTCATTAATTGCTCTTTCTTGGTTTACTAAAAGTTCTTTACTCTAGAAAAAGTATTATGTAACAAAAAATTGAAACATGCCTTTTTTTTTTTTTTTGTGAACTAATACTAACATGAGATTTTAAAGTTCATTTTATTCTCAGGCATTTCTAACTTAAGATGCTTATTTGTAGGGCGCTCTTGTGGCCATCTATGCTTTACTAGGTAAGCAATTAACTGTTTGCTTGCAACTTCAACATAGATGAAAATATACGGAAGCAATTTTCAATAAATATACTTTTATCTGATTTAACGAAGAGTAATACTTTTAGTTTGTCAATGGTTATTGTAGGCATTACTTTTTAATAAGTCTATATAATGATGAAACTAGTATATAAACTTTAATATTATTTTCTTTACCTCTCTTGGTAAACTTCGTAACAAGTTTTGGATAGATATGTGGACTTCCTCAAAGCTTAGTGCCTATCTAAGCTTTTATTTAACTAATTTTTTCTATCCTTTATAGCAAAGTTGAGGAAGTTCTTTATGATGGAATATTGAACCAAAGCATATTCAAATAAAAAGGGGGCATGCGAAGCTTTTTGCTCATGATATTATTGGAACCAAATGGTTTTGGAGTAGGATTTAAAACCAAGACCATCTTTATTTTTTTTCTTTGAATGATTTGAGCCAGTGATCCCTATTAGAGTTGGGAACAATTCTAACCAACTACTCTTAGCTTTATGCCTAAGTAATTTTACCTTTAATAAATAGTCGTCAATTTTCTTCACAAGCTTTACTCTTACAATTAATTGAAGGACTGAAAGTGATTTCTTCTTAAAAGATAAAGAGATCACAATTCTTTTTTTCTTCATGAAATTTTTTCCGATTAAGCTGTAAACATTATGCAGAGTGGGAGAAGACATTGCAAATTATTGGTATTGTTGGCCTAGGGCAGGTATTTATCTTCAGATTCTTTAGTTTAGTAATTTGTTTCAACTCATGTTTTCTACTTCCATTCAGATAAAAATTGATGTTTTTTCTTTTTAAATTTTCTTTTAATCGTCAACTAGCATATTTAAACATTAATATTTTATTGCAGAGAACATACTTTGTTATTTAATATTTTGATTATCTTAATGGATTTTATTTATTGTTGCAAGTTATTTCGATTCAGCACTTGCTCGATTCTCTAGCTTTATTGTTTTGAATTCTTTCTTTAGCTCATTTATTTCCCTGTTTTTCTCTAGCCATTTATCTGCACGTATTCTATCGTTCTGCCAATTGTACTCGTGCTACCTATTTGCCTTCTTGCAACCATAGGAATGTTTGGATTCCTGATGTTTTCCTTTTCTTCACATCTTTTTACTTGTTTGATGAGGGAAATCTGAAAGTATGTACTTTTCAGAAGTACATGCCATGATTTGGCTCTGGAGCTTGAATAATTTTAACAATTGTCTGTTACGCCAGTGCCTAGACTAGGGACAATTTTCTATTTTGTGTGCTCGAGGGAAATTTAGTCTTTTATTATTTATTACTGTTTAGTACAAATTGACCCTAATATGTTTAGGGTGAGGTATTGTGTTTGTGAGTCTAGGGTTTAGGTTTTGGGAGAGATTTTCTACCTTTCGAATTTTAGGAATTAGGAGAGATCACATTCCTCTTAAATTGTAGGTGTTTATGTTTATATTTTTGCTGAGTTTTTTGAATTAGTGAAGAAAATATTTATTTTACTCTAATTTCTGGGTGGAAATCGGTGGAGTTTCCTATCACTGTCCAAGTCAAATTCCTTTCTTTTTTTATTTGAAATTTCTATAGCATAATACATAACATCATGAAAGAGAATCTTATCATCAAACATATACGACACATGCAATTTATATCCATAAAAATAAAATAGGAGCATCTAAATCTAAAATATAATTTCATCTTCACTAAGATTATATATTTATTTTATAAATCCTAAACCTCAATTTTATATTTTTTCCCCCCATTTGGCGTAACTATTTAGTTATTTTAATAGAGGCCTTGCACATTAGAACTTTGCCATCTATGATCAATATGCAACATGGGATCTTACTTACAATATCCATTATTGATGTGTATAAAATTTGTTGATATATTCATGCGTTTTTCATACCTTTTATGGATCATTGTCACACTTTTCTGGGATATATGTAGTGTTATTTATAGTTTATACAGGGAACATTCAGAACTTGGAGCACTTAGAACACAAAATAGGATAAATTAACAGGCAAGCGCCCTGGCATCTATAGCTAATGCCTCGGTGCCTGATGCAGCCCATTCCAATAAAAAATACATAGCAGGACATTCCAGCACCAACCCCCACATCGTTGCGCTACAATTGTCAGCACTTTGGTGCCCGAAGCCCTAAGTTGATGATTTTGTGTCATGAAATTCAGTGCCGCATCCAGCACTGTTGCACCCCATGCCAACTATCTGGTGCCCCCACACCAGCGTCGTCGCACTTCCCGCCGACTTAAAATGGTTTTGGTGGGTTTTTGATGGTTTGATCCAAGAAAGGCTTAAAATCTCTCTGAGGTGCTCTTGTATATAGATACATGCTCTTGGATACACTACACACTCTTGGGGGAGGCACTCTCACAGACTCTTGGAGCATAGGAGAAATATTCAAGGAATGTGTGGTGTAGAATTTGTGCAGGATGATTATGAGTGAGAATTTTATTATTTTTTTTGTAAGGGAGTGATCATAATCAAGGAAGGATTTTATAGTGGCGATCAAGATTTGTGAACAAGGATTTCTTTCTATCGGATTTTTCATTTCTTACTCTTGTATTTTAATTTGATTGATTAAATGCAAGTCATGCGTAACACTTAAATTCTCTCTCTCTCTCCTTTGTATTGGTACTCTTTTAAATCTAGAAATATCTCATGTTAGTTTTTAAGATTTTTGAATGAAGATACTGTTTTAACTTTCAAAACTTAATTTACATTAAAAATGGACATTTGAATAGTTAAAACTAATTGTAATCTAATTGGAAGAAGTTTAGAAGCACAAATAGGTTAAAACATGGAAGTTTAGTGAAATAGGAATAATGCCAATTGATTCTTATAATATTTTTTCGGGAATGAGGAGACTTGAGAATCTTTTAATGTTAAGTAACCTAATTATAATATAGGATAAAGAGAGTAGGAAGTAATAGACTTCGATCGACATCTATAATAGGAAAATCACTTGAAATAATTTTGATTTAACTGAACCAATTCAAGAAAAACTTTCACATTATTTAGAAAACTCTTCTCATTTACTATAAATTTTTATTTTAAAATTAGGATTTTAGACAATTTAAAATCTCAAACATTCAACCATTTGAATTTAATTTAGGATTAGTAAAATAGTAATTGTACTATTTGAGAATTTTAACTCGTTCATTGTGAGATCGATATAAGGACTTATAATCCATATACTACTTGATTGACACGTAACGATGTTAATTTCTCAAATTATTAGAATATTAGTGATAATGCAAGGTTTAGATTCAAAATTTGAATTGTTACTTTTTTGTTGTGTATCTTGTTTTGTGTTATTCAAGTTTTAGAAAATTGAAATATATTATGACTTTTGTTAGTTACTTTCTGCACTCTATTTGCTTAACTGTGTTATTATTTTGTTTTGTATATTGTTTGACTTGTTAGTTAGGGTCACCAATTAGTCATAAGTTGTATGCGTAAGATTAGCTTTGTTGAAATAGTGTCGTTTGATCCTAAAATAGGAAAAATTGCTAAAAAAACAACATAAAAGTACTTGCAAAATTTGAAAACTTTGGAAGCAATGCTAAACGATAAAGGAGAAAATGACCAGTTTAGATTACTTAAGGATTTTGTCAAGCCGTCCGTAGATGAATTATGTGAGAGTATTCATAATTCTACCATAGAAGCCAACACCTTTGAACTGAAATCTGACATAATTCAAATGGTCCAAAACTATCAATTTGGAGGTTCACCAACCTAAGACTCAAATTTACGCTTAGCCAATTTTCTGAAATTATGTGTGTCTTTAGGTATAACGGTGTTTAGACTTATGTTGTTTTCATTTTCCCTTAAAGACAAAACTAAGATGTGACTTGTTAGCACAACGATTCATAACCACTTGGAATGACTTTACCCATAAATTCTTAGCTAGATACCTTTCACCTTCTGAAATTGTAAAGCTTAGGAATGACATTATCTCTTTTGCCCAAATGGATACTGAGTCAAAGCCTAAGAGAGATTTAAAGTTCTTAAGAAATGCCCACATCATGTCTTATCAGATTGATTGATTATATAAATATTTTATAATGGGTTGATTAGATCATTGATGTCAATAATAGATGATATAGCCAGGGAGTCATTAATGACAATCTTTCCAGAGAGCTTATAGATTGATTGTTGAGATGACTACAAATAATTTTCAGTGATCTTCTGAGAGTAAACCCAAAAGAAGATAGTAAACATTCATGAACACAATTTCTTATTAATTCTAACTACACAAATAGTGGTGCTATCCAAAATAAAATTAGATAATTTAGACCTGAAGTCTGCACTAGAATCACTAATGAGCGATGACAATGCTTATGAACAGTTAGTCGATTCTAGTGTTGTAGTTGTGGAGTCATTAAATGCTATAAATAATAGATCCAATAACTCCTATTCAAACACCTACAATTTTTATTGGAGGAAGCACCCAAATTTTAACCGGAACAATAGCCAAAATGTAAGAAATTAATAATGAGGTAGTAACCAAAATAACTTGTTAGGAAACTGGAACAACAAATGAAATAATATTAACTAAGACCTGATTAAGAAGGTGCCTGTTCCCGAGTTTCATGAACTGAAGAATCGAGCTGAACCATTAGTAGGCATATCGAATACTATATTTGTTTCAATCCATTCAGCTTCTTTGTTGGAATTGTCTCTGCCAACTTCTCTACTTAGCTTTAAGCATTGAAGTATCTCGCAATCGGAATTTTTCTTGATTTTTGGACTCTCTTTCTTCTCTCTTCTGATGATACAATACAAGTCGGCGATGATTGGCGCCTCAAAAAATTCTACCATTTCTACTAGTTCCTGTAATTCTAAAACAAATTCGCTTTACCCATGGTGGTGCGAGCATTGCAAAAACTCATGGCATACGATGGAGGCATGTTGGAAACTTCATGGTAAACCGACAAATTGAAAATCAAAATCTAAACGTGATGGTCGGATCAATAAATCTATTATTGATGAAACTGAAGAGCCTTCTACCAACTCAAATGCAATACCTTTCACCAAGAAGCAATTAGAGTACATGCACAAGTTATTTCAATCTCTAAAATTATCACAGACTCTGTCTTGCTCTTCGGTACAGAGTGGTAACTTTCTAAGCACTCTATTGGTAGTGTTAACTTTAATTTTATTCATTCTTGAATAATTGATTCTGGTCAAAGTGATTATATGATTAGTTATTCAAAATTATTATCATCTTATAGACCTCGTGCAAACAATAAAAAATTCAAAATTATTGATGATTTCCTCTTGGTAATTGCCAGGATAGAAACTATCAAACTCATCTTATTGTTAATCTTTCATGATGTGCTCCATGTTCCCAGTTTGGCTTGTAATCCATTGTCCATTAGCAAATTTACTTATGATTATTAGTGTCAAGTTAATTTTTATTCTTCTTGTGTGAGTTTCAAGAATTGACCACAAGGAGAATAATTAATACTGCCAAAGAAGAGGATGATTATATTATTTGACTATGGACTTGATGCCAATATCAAAGTACATGTTTAAATTCATTTTTTTATTTTCAAAGAAAATGATATTAAGCTATAGTATTATATGTTAGGTCATTCTAGTTTCCAGTATTTTAAATTCTTATTTCCTAATTTCAAAATTAAAATGTCATCTTTCCAATGTGAAGTCTATCAGTTTGCTAAATACCATCCTACATCTGTT